TATCCCGACGAGATTCCGGGATAAATTTACAAGCATAAACACTGTTGGATGGTTTCTTTCACTCTGCGCCTCACTTCAGTCATTTTCCAGAAGTAAACAATTGGGTTTAATGTAGAATTTAGGTAGACCAGTGTTGCAGTAGATATCCAGGCGATGTAGATCATTTTGCCACGAAAACCGACACTTATCAGCATGGACACTGAGAGGAATGGAACATAACAGGCCAGTAACACTAACTGCACCCACGCGATGCTGGATACTGTCTTCTTGTATTGTGCTACTTCGTTGACCTTTCTATGATAAAGACGGTCTCTGACTTGAAATCGCTGATGATGTAACCTACACCAAATTTTCATGTGAGATGAGACTGATATTATTGACAATAGACCTCCAAAGAATACAGCGATCTTCAAAGGCGCGTGATAATTCCACAAACGCACCAATCCGCACGAAGCAGCCAAGAACCAGATGCACGCTACCACAGAACGAACTCGAGTTACTGTGACCAGTTGCCGGTATCGCAACCCTAGCAGCAAGGCTAGAAGTCTGTCTAAGCTAATTGCGGTCGCCGTGCTTACTGATGCACCACACAAAGCGTAGCTGAATATGCTGGTTACTTTGTCATCTTCAACATCGTCCGCGTTCATCTCCAACTGGGCGATACGAAGTAGCAAATTCACGAATAATGGTTGCGTTATCGACCCAACGCAAAGATCAGTAAATGCCATGCAACGAAACAGTAGTTTTGTTGGAGGATGGAGAGATATCTCTTTGCAAAGAGCTATAAGAATGAGAGAGTTTCCCAACGTTGCAGTGATGGATAGCAAAATGTTTAGGGAGGAAAGAAATACCATTAAGCTCGTTGGGAATGAAAATGTGTCAGTTTGATTCGTCCCACTTGTGTACTGTGTGTTTCCGCCATCGGGAAAGTTTCCCATTGTGAACACAGACTGTTTTCTTGAAACTTCGCTTCTTCCTACCTTTACCTTCAGTTTCGGCTCCTCTAAGAGGAAAAACCCACACTGAAATATCGAGCCTCTTTGGAAATCTTTATACTAGCAGCATGTTTTAAAACATGGTTATATTTTTTTCACCTTATTGATATTCCTTTTCATAACTTCCTCTTTGTTTGAGGAGAGTAAACGCATCTGCGTGTAAACTAATCAGTGTGACAGGCGATTCAAGTGTCTGTATACATTACTATGTTTGTATATTGGAAAATATAGCCAATCACCATTTACTCGATTCTTTGCTGTTCGTTGTCCTTGGCAAGCCTTTATTCCTGGTCTCCTCCTTTGCGATATTAACGCCGTACTTCGAGAGAACGACATAAACTAGCCGCTGGGACTATCTTAACAATAACTCATCCTAACAGCGCTAAAAGTGCAATCACAAAGCTCGGTTTCTTCTGTATGTGTCTTTCAAGGGTTTGTTAAACTATTTCAATATTTTTCATTGCCAATGAATAAAACATTATGGCACTATAACCACATATCATTGCTTCATGGAAGTTGCACGAATGACATGTTACGTAGCTGCTTAAAACTTCTTTTGTCTATGACAAATTTAAAGACTTAAAGTACACCTTAAATTAAATGCGGACCAATCGTAACTGCCGTTGGAGATCATATGAGAAAGCATGGCAACCATGAATTTCCTCCGACAGTCTCTAACTTAGCCAAGGTAGAGCAGAGGCAAAAGAGGAAAATGAGATAAGCGACTGAAATTAAAAAGAAGGTCAAAACTTAACATGCACAGATCTTCCCAAGGCCCAAGACAAACTGTAAAATGCACCGTTTCTTATAACTTTATTTTTGGAACCATGAACCAAATCATAACACTGAATGAAGCTAAGGTAATATGCCATCTTGTTCAGACAGGAAAAAACTTCTTTAGTAAGTAACAAGTCACTTGTCGAAAGGAAGAGAAATGGTGATTAGTACATGGAAAATCCTGACTAGAGACCATTTTAACAGCGAAAAGTGGTTTCGTTTCTGAGAGCGCCGATAGGACGTTTAGCAGCTGCGCTAGTATCAAAACGTGACGCGAGAAATTGCTAATTCATTTAATGTAACTTATGGGTCGATAAGTGACGGCAGGAAATAAGCTAATTCAAGTTCTATCAAGATAAGGTTTTCGCAATTTCCTACACCGGATACTTGCAAGTGATTCTTTCACGAAGTCCGACTGTGCTCGATTGAGAGATTCGTCATCTAGTGTTGGGGCCGTAAATGTAAAAGCCTTGATCATCATCTGTATGAATTTGAGGCTTTTGCATTGACACGTTGATTTTCTGGTTGAAGATTACGTTGGATTCGAATAGAAACCAGTCTTATTTTTTCTCTCTCTACAACTATCTAATAGAAGCAATATGTTTCGTTCATTAATTGACTTAACATTACCTCCGCTCATTTATGCATTCCGTTTCCTTAAACTTGATTCAAATTTATGAGACCGCCAATTCTCCACTGAATTTAAGGTCAGGTGGCATTAAATTCAGCTTTACAACAAATTAAGGCAAAAGGCAGTAAATGGCTGAATCTCGTTACTCTTTTCCTACTTATTCAAAGCCCGTTTCATGCAAAAGATATAAAAATTTTGATATAATGCATAAAATACATTTATGCCTATAAATGAGCCTTGGTGACCTTACTAACATTACTTTGTAAATGGTTTTGAGGTATTCGTTCTTTAGCTCTCCTTTGTTCTGTTTGTCTTTTCGGCTAAAGATGACTGCAACAATTTCTAGAGATGACTTGGCGAACTTCTTTAAAAAAAAAAATAAAATAGAGAACAATTGCCTGATGATGTTAAGAAAAAACACCTCAAAAGACAGAAGAAAATAGCGCTTAAAAGCGAAACTTGCAACACAGCTAGATTTGCCTTTATATAATTAGTAAGTCTGCCTATTCATCGAATCTTCGGCATATTTCATAGCGTTCACTGAAAATCAATGGAATTGTTTTGATTAACCAAATAGTATGCTATAATCATCTCAACAAAGTCCATTCATATTTCTCCCGCTCGAGATTAACTCGGACAGCATGGAGAGGCCATAACCTAAACAATCAATTCAGTACTGATGTAAAGCAACTTAATTCTCTGATGGTATTTTTCATGGCTTTTCTTACTGTTCCGATCTTCCAGCAATACAAAACAGGGTTTAGAGATGAATTTAAGTATGTAAGGGTCGCCGTCACTGTGAAAGTAACCTGAAAGCTATAGCTGGATACTCCAATCTGGTCATACATTGCTGCTGTTACAACAACAATAAAAGGGATATAGCAACCAACCAGCGAAAGCTGAACCCACAGAACGTTGGATACGGTTTGTTTAAATCTTGCTACATTCAGCAGTACACCTCCCCTTTTAACTTGACTTTGGCAGACTTGAAGTTGACGATGTCGAAGTTTCAGGTAAATCTTTATGTAAGAGTATATCGAGGTTAGTATGGAAATTGTAGTAAAAGTGAACGTTACTGTGAAGGCAAAGCTCGCGTTTAAAAAGTATATGGATCCAAATGAAATACCTATGAACCATAAGCAAAGCAATATTGCACGAACTCGCTCTCTTGTTACAAAGTATCTATATCTCAGCCCCAACTGTAGGGCGAGAAGTCTGTCGACACTTATTGCGGTCAGTGTGAGCACCGATACGCCACATAAGGTACAGCTGGACGCCTGATAAATTGTATCCACATGGTTAATTACCCTTGCGTTAACTGCATTAGTTACTCTTGCCACGAGGAAAAAACTGAAGAGAGGCTGGGCAGAGAGACCAACGAAAAGATCGGTGATTGCAAGACAACGCAGCAATAGTTTTGTTGGAGGATAAAGAGAAGTCTCTTTATGGAGAGCAACGAGGATCAATGTGTTGCCGAAGGTTGCGGTGAATGACAAAAAGATGTTCAAAGCAGAAATAAAAGTAAAAACGCCCGTTGGAAATCTTGCCGTGCCTGTTTGGTTGTTCATGTAGTCTTCTTCGACAGTCAAGTTCATCATGGATGAAGGCAGCAACGTTTTGGCAGTTTTATTAAAAACCGATTCAATTAATAGCCATACTCCTGGGCCTAATTATGTTCATGAACCTTCAAGTTTTGGAAATGTCGAGGTTTTCCGGCATGTAATTAATGAAGCTTGGATGATAGCAATGCCACTTAGATCAATATGCATTAACTCAATTTGCAATAAAAGACAAGTTCCATGAGAAAATGTAAAAACTTACTCTATAGCCACTAATCTTTAACATTGGCTTTTAATCAAACTGAGGTTTTAAAGAATTTATCCTTGAGGCCGGAGGCTTTTAGCAAAGCGGAAATGATCGAATGTTGACAATTTCAGTAAGTGCACAAGAGCACCTGTTTCGCAGCTTGTTAAACTTTTTTTTTTTTTTTAATAACTTTTGGCTAGCGCTGCGAGTTATTTCTAGCGTAGAGTAGGTTTTCGTGCCTTCTTGATTTCTCTGAATCAGAGGGAGATCTCCAGTGGTCCAAACATTCTCCATTCTATCAGCTTTATCGCTGATTATACTGTCTATCCACGTAACCACACTTGATCTAAAAATCTTAAAGTGTCAAATACAGCATACAATGTAAATCGTAAATTAAGCTGTGTTTTATGATTCAATATTTCCATACACTTATTTGCCCCACACTCGTGAGCAGCTTACTCCACGTCTTCCCATAGCATGCAATAAACGTCTTTGTCAGCAGCCGGCTATACTATCAATTTTGCAGATGTGCTTTCAACCACAAGATCAAATGAGACTATCAAATTCTTTGCAGCCCAGTTTTATGGTATCTTAACAGGAATCAGAAGGCTGTGGTCCTTCGGTATATTTTCCTTTGTCCTTTTGAGGTATAAAAAATAACTAGAGAGCCCCATGCAATGGTGTCTTTATTGCTCTTTTAACCATAATGTATCCTTCCTTCCCATTTAGTTTTTTGTTCCTTAATTATAAGGCGTCAAACCTTGAAGACGAAGTTTGCCTGTTTGGGTAGTTTAATTCATGAAATGACACATTTGTTTAATTGTGTGCTTTGCTGCTTGTCTCACTTCTCTCAACTTCCAGCAGTAAAGAATGGGGTTCAGAGATGAATTTAAGTAAACTAGAGTTGCTGTAGAAAGCCAGTTCACTGCGCCTTCGGATGTTACTCCTTGTATCCATAAGATAGATTCAATCCCGTAAGGGGCATAGCAAAAAATTAATGCCAACTGCACCCATGATATGCTAGACACAGTCTTCTGATACCTTGTCATATCGTTCAGCGGAATTCCTCCTCCGTTGGGAGGCGCATGACCAACGCTGTCTTGAACTCGTGTTTGATGCTCCAGTAACTTGATATAAATCTTTATGTAGGAGAAAATAGAAGTAACAAGGCAAAGTATAAGAAAAAACGCTACTACAATCCAGGTGATACGAATACTCCAAAGATACATTGATCCACCAAAGATGCTTACCGCCCAAAGACATGACAGAAGTACACGGACGCGTTTCAGGGTAACAACTTGTCTGTACCTCAGCCCCAATAATAAAGCCAGAAGCCTGTCCACACTTATAGAAGTGGATGTTAAGGCTGATACTCCACATAAGATATAACTTGAAACATAGTTTCCCATGATGAAATAGCTCAAAATATCTCTGTTTATTTTTGTTGACCGAGGCATCACAGCGACAGCGTACAGAGGCTGTGAGATGAGGCCAACACAAAGATCAGTGAACGCTAGGCATCGAAACAGGAGCTTTGTTGGAGGATGAAGAGAAGAAACTTTACGGAGTGCCACAAGGATCAAAACGTTTCCCAGTGTTGCTATCATGGAGAGAACAATGTTCAAAACCGGGATGAAAACATGCCGTTGTTTCCCCAACGCTGGCAAAGCTGAGCTTGTTTTGTTTAGTGTAAGCTCTCTTGTGAAATTTCTCTCCAAAGCAAAGCCCTCCATTGTTCAGCTTAAGGCTTGCAAAATCTCCTTGCTTTGTAAAAAATCCCAATTTCAGTCTGAAAAAGGATCCAGGTTTCGCAGTGTGGTATAAGTATGGTTTTCTTCACTCTTGCCAGCAACTATCGGAAATTATGTTTACTTAGCATCAGTCAAAACCTGTCATTCGGCTCTCAGTTATTGTTTTCTCATTCGGATAGATGACATTTTTAATATATGTTATATCGGCTCTTATTTAATGTCACTGCAGATGGCCTAGGTAAGAATTAGATACTTGCTCAGCTTTACGAGTAGACGATTTTCTTCTCTTCTAATTTAAGTAAGATCTCTATTGTGACTAACTGACCCTTAGGTTTTGGATGACGCTGACCCAAAAGACAGTCTGTCAGCCTATTCCTATTTTCAAGAAGCCGTACGCGTACGTGTCTACTTATCAGTAGCGACTGGCGAATTGCGTCTTGGGCTTTCGAGTACTGTTTTCTTAGTCGCATAAATAAACCCTTTTTGAGTAACTGAACAGATAACTCACCTTGCTTGTTTTGATAACTCTTGGGTAAGAATATGTGCATGTGCTGGTGTTTGGTGGCCAGCCAAAACCTTTCAAAGTTTATTCATATTTCCTTTATTGACATTTGTATTAGAATATAGGGATAGAAAATGATCCATTTTTTAATGTATCAGCTCTCAACTGTTTGCATCATTACAAGTTACAATGCTAATCATCCCATGAGAATTTCATCAATTGATTATTTTTAACGAGGAGGTCGAACTGCAAAGTAGTCTCCTTCGCAGCCGCTCGGGCCGGAGTCACGCAACGCTCCCCGTCCCCACGCGTGGGGACGGGGGACTCCGGCCCGAGCGGCTGCGAAGGAGACTAGCTGCAAAGCGGTGGTGTAAATATCCACCTCTAGCCATATACACTGAGATGAATATTTGTTTTAGGAAATACTAATACTGTGCGATAATAGCACAAAAAGATGAATTTAACTTTTTTATTTCTGAGCCCAATTCCCGCGGAGGTGAATGGCAAAGGATGTTCGAACTTAGTTTTAGTGATTACTTTTAGCAGTATCAGTTAATCGTTTTGAATTGAATCGACATTTGTCAGATATTTGGGAAATTTTAATGATTCTTAACAAAAGCCGATCAAAATGATAAATACTTCCAACTAAGTATCTTAAACAATCAAATAGACAAATTTTTTTATGAAAGTGCTTGCGGTGTAAAGAAAAATGATTGAATGAGAATCCATGAGTATATTGGTTCGACTGCGTTTCTCGTAAACACGAACCATGGCCAAAGTAATCTCGCCAGATTTGTTGCCGAAATGCACCAGAAAGGCACGAATAGAAGCACAAACATTCAAACAAGCGTCCTAAGTTGTGGAGATAAAAGTAGGAAACAAAGCTACGTGGCATTTTGGCACTTGGAATATCTCCCTCAGGCCAACTTGGCCTTATACACTTAGAATCATTAAAATGGGGACTTCTAGAATACTTTCTCAGACAATATAAGCAGTTATGTCAAATAACAACATTTAAGATAATCAGCGTAATACCAGGCTTTTAATCAAATTGGTATAGAGAGCTCGATTGTGAAGTGTGACGATAAGTTTTCGCACGAACTGTTTTTTTTTTTTCGGGGAACACAACAACAACAACAACAACAACAACAACGGCATTTATTTAAACACGATAAAAAAATTCAGCAAAATTAAAGCTGATGTGGTCGTGTACGAACAATAAAACTAAATTCCTAACTAAATGCAATAAAACTAAATTCCTAACTAATTATAAGAAGACTAATGTAAGATTTCTACATATTTTCAACAATAAAAATTCTACAGTACATCATTATAATATACGTGGCTTAAAAATACACTTGAGTGACTTTTTAAAAGCGTCAACGTCTTCAATTGATCTCATTTGATTTTCCACCATGATCGTGCATCATGCGTATCTAATANACCCGAAACTTGCCTCGTCTTGTTCTGAAGTCTAGCTACGGCCCTGGTGAGCATCGTAAAAGTGTGAAGAACACTCAGAATATAGATAATATCCAATACAGTACGTAAACATCACTTTTGGTTGACAGCTGTTCCAAGTACCATGAACAGATAGATTTTCATGTAGCTTTCGACTAAAAACGATGGCTGATCGGCATTTGGCATTTAATTCTTTCTGTTGATCAAAATAGTCAATAGTCAATCAAGTGAGAAATAGTCAATCAAGTGAGAGACCCATGACGCTTGCAACCATCTGTTAACAACTAGTATAAATTTAAAAGTTAATAACGTCATTGGACTGTTTCAACCGACTACTGTCAAAAAGTTTTTCCGTTTCCAGTTTCTAAATTTGCATTTGCTTTGTTTATCTTATTTTGTTTTCCGTTTTTGTTTCTCGTTTTTTCGTTTTTTTTGTTTTGTCTCGTTTTGTTTTTGCGAGTGTGTATTGGTTCGTCTTTCTATAATGCTTTCTTTTTTTTTCTATTTTTCTATTTTTTTTTATTTTTTTCTATTTTTCTAACAGTTATCGGCAACTGAAAAAGGTTTAACGTTTTCTTGCGATGAAGCTACCGACAATGCAAATTAACCAAAATACAAAATTAGTTCACTCCACCGACAGGTGCCGAGCAGATAAAATGTTTGTTTAGCGTGGTCTTTTAGAAATATGTATACTAAAGCGCTGTTTTTTCCGTCTTTTGGCGAAAAAAGAGCGCCACAGAATTGCAAATGTTTCCTTGGTTTCACTGTTTCTCTTTTAATGTACTGTTTCAAGACAAAATACCTCGTCCGTTTCTATGGATTTTTTTCTTTTTTCAAGAAGAAACTCACTTGAACGTGCGGATAAAGTCAGTTGGTTGGCTAACTCTGAGGAAAAATAATGGGCAAATAGGGGTGGGGTGGGGTAGGTTAAACCTTAAACCCTCAAGATCAGACTGTAAATTCTCCCATCTAAATATAACCAATTTCCTTATAATATAGGTTTAGAAATCTGATGTTAGATGAAGATAACAACTTCTAGCTGATAAGTTTGAGTATTCTTATTGTCAGTTTGCCGGACAATGAAAGGGGTAACATAGGGAAAAAATGCATAATAATCAAATCTAGTAGTGAACGGTTAACTATTCTTTAAGTTCGCCTGATTGAAAATAAAAAAAGACAATATGGCGCGTCGTTTCATCTTCACCAAGACCGTCTCCATCAAATACGTCATTGTGTAATTGAAGGAATTGTTCTGCGTGTCGAAGCGTGTAACCTATCCATCAATCATAAATTTCCGAAAACAATAAATGTGAGATTATTCATTTGATCCGGCATCGCAGACCGGAAATGAAATAACCGACCGTACTCAGTACGTTTAATGAAGAACTATTGCTCCGGGGTATGCGCGACCCACTTCAGCGGAAAGAAGACTCCATAAAGGCAGTCTCGGAACAGTGTAGATTTTAACGGCTGATTTCGAAGGTTGCTGAAAATAACGCCGGTAAAATCCCTTTTATTCCTTTCGCTTCGGGAAAACCTGAAGAAATAATATTGCTGCTCCGGACTGAACTCCTGGCCTGAACTCCTCGCTGCGCAATCAGTAAATGCCGTCGTTAGAATCATTAAAGTATCAGAGAAGCAAAATTAGCGTTTTCATGCCAACCGAAATCATGAGTGATAACTATATTGGTATTATTCCTGAAGCTGAATAAACACTAATACTCATGTCGACTTGTTTCATTCCGTGATACCTTAGGTTTGTCACTGATGTATTGCTATCTTCAAGACTACTAAAATTGATCCTTTCATCGACCAACCAGCATTTGAAACTCAAGAACTTTTTTAAATCCCTTTTTTTTTAGAGAATTGCGTTTGAACATTCTGCATTTGACTAGAGCGTAAAAAAGCTCAGTAAATTGAAACTTTCAGGCAAGAATTATGCAAATCTATTCAAAATCTTTTTGATAACCACAAGTCTTATCCAGCCATAACTCATGCCGATTGTGATAAGATATAACAGTTTATCTGAGTTTAGTAGATCTGTTCTGTTCAGCTAGAGCTTCCTGTGCATTTATGTGCGATGTATTTACAACAATTTTACTAGTGAAGCCACTATGCACTGTGTATGCGCTTATGAAGAGTTACAATTTCAAAAGGAAGCAGTGAATTTGAATGCTGCAGATCTCCGGCGTTGTGCACGTCTGTTGTTCATTTCATGTTTTACAATTGATCACAGAAAGTAAGGCTTCATAGACGGGGTTTACATTTCGATGGGTGAATACACACAAATCTTTAACCCAAGAACTTTCACGCTCTAAAATTTATGCAAACCTTAGGTAAGAACGTGTCAACAATATTCATTAGACCATAGCAATTTCCACTCCGTTCGAAAAGCTCCGTCGATGTCCATGACCAATCACACCAAATTATGCTTTACATATCTGGCATTACGCTTAAGGCTCCTGAGCAATTTGCACTAATGTGAATCAGCTAAGCTCTATTTTAATTGATTACGGCATTGATATATCGAGAGTCTCTTGTGATTTCCATTTAAATTTCTGAAGATATCGTGTAGAAAACGTAGGCGGATCTACCCTCAACGCCTATAATTGAAATGACTCGCCAAAGCAGTGCACTATACCTTCAAAATCGATCGTTGTCACTTTTTTGTAAGATTTCATGAAACATTTTTTAATTTTTCAAGGTGGACTATGGGCAGGATAAAGCCGGGGAGTGGTTTTTGTAACACAGGCGATTCAACTTCCGGCCTTGGATTTTTATTTACGATACCCATACTGATTTAATTTGACCTAATATCATTTCTTTGTCGATTCTTTATTAGCGACCCATTTTTTCCTTGAATTCTTACGATCTTTGAACACATCTCGCCGTTTCAAATCAAATTTGTTTTATATTTCCAAGTTTGGAAAGAAAGAATGTTTTCGTTGTTGAATGGGAAGAAAATATAATAGAAAAGACAGTAAAATCATAGGCAACCTAATATAACACCTCTTTGGAAACTGTCTCGTGTTTTATCGTCAACCGATCATTGGCAAGTCTTGACACGTTCAAAGTGATTTCAAGTACTTGTAAAGACAACCGAATTTGACAAAATATTCCGTATTCCGGACTGAAAATTTTTGATACCTCAAGAATTTGAGAAGAAATGTCACGCTGAGGTTTCGTTTATGAATGCAATTTGCAAAGTTCTGGCTGGTTGTGTTATTTGAGCACTTTTTTTGTTCTTTTTTTGTTTTTGTTTTTTTATTCAGCTGTAAGAAGTAGAGACTAACTTGTGCACTTACGCCAATATCATCAAGATATCTCCAGTGACTGGCAAAAAAAGCCTTTCTATACAAGTCAGAGTTAAATATCTTGTCAAAAGCGATGACAGTCAATTTTATTCTAGTTAAAATCTGCAGCCTAATTTGTGAAATTCCGCGCGAATCTTGTCATTTCCGCGAAAGTTCTTGATTTGAACGACGTTTCCGAAAACATTTCAAAAAGTAGAAATGAGAGCACTTGTTGTATTGATCACGCGGTGAACCTCTAGTTCTTTTTTTGTTTGTAAAAAAATCACACAAGAATCAAATAGTTTTATTTGTCATGCAAACCGTGTGTTCAATAACTCGCGCGGCCACAGAAAGTGATCACGTGAGGGCTAGGAAGCCAATTAGCTGCTGAAATAGTTGAAACTTGTCAGTCAAATAAAATTAGACCTCTTGCCGACACTCGACCAAACCAACCGAAAAGATCAAAGGTAATTTTTAGCTGGTGTGCTCTAAGATGAGCGGTCTATCCAATCTTGGGTCGTGTTTATGGAAAATCGAAACAGCAAGTATTGTTCATTTATATATGTTGAAGGAAAAACTGGTGATTTTCAACTTGGCCCATGAAAAGCGCTGATTTGAACACGGTGTCAACAGACTCACCGCCAAATGGCTTGTTTCGACCGCATATCATTGGGTTTTCTTGTACATTTATGCCTGTGGCTTTCTCATCAAGTGGACGGCACCGTTATTAATATTTATTCATCGTTGGAGCCGTATAGTATTTTAGCTAATTTAAGTAGACCAGGATGGACGAATTATACGCTTGAAGCGTCGAACACCGACGAACACACAATTCTTCAAATTTTGTCTATTGATTCAACAAACGGATTATTGCGAATGATTCGCAAGCCAGACTGCACATCTCTACAGCTTAATCCGTTGATTGTTTATGTATCATCGTCTTCCATTTTTAATTCAGCAAAGAAGACTCTAATACCTCTGACCGTGACAATTTTTGGCGAAAACTGCTTTAGAAAGGTACAGAGAAAAGTGTCTTGGGATGCTCCAGTCGGAACGCGTGTGCTTCGATTGAAAGACTTCATACGCTTAGAAGATCCTGCGTCGCTAAGGCTTAGAAATACGCCGTGGAGAAAGTATTTCAGATTGGGCGCCAAATCCGATTATTTGGTGCTTCGAAAATCTTTACTTGGACTTAAAGAAAACACTCTGAGAGTGGAGTTGGCATTTCCGGTTGGTTCTAAGAATGCGAGTGGAAATAAACAAGTTCTTGTTGCGCGACTTGAGATGTTTATTGATAAAAACGCAAACAGTTTTGCTAATAAGGTACGCCGATTTCGCCGTCGAATACGAAAAACAGCTCCTCGTTTCTCCAGCTCTCAGTTAATTGCTAACATTAGAGAAAATGATCCCGCAGGAACAAGCGTTACTACGATTCAAGCACAAGATACAAACCACGGCAACGCTGGGAGAATTAAATACTCAATGGAAGCGTCCCAGAATTTACTCAGTCAGTCGTTCTTTCGGATCGATCCTTACACGGGATTGATAAAAAGTACAGGCCCTTTAGATCGCGAAAAGATGCCCACCCACTATTTTCGTGTCAAGGCCGAATACGAGCAGGACAGATCACTCTATGCTGAAGCAGGTCTGACCATTTAGGTCGATGATGTAAACGACAACTCGCCCAAGTTCGAATCATCCTCGTACAGCAAAGTCATACCAGAGGATACTTATATCGGAGACACGGTCCTTGATGTGCGAGCACGCGATTTAGATACAGGTTCCAATGCAGACATCCGCTACAGCATCATTAATAATAGTGGTGTTAACAGCGCATTTGCAATTGGACAAAGTAGTGGATCGATAACTATAGACAAACATCTGGATCGAGAAACTGTCCAGCAATATTCTCTTACTGTCCAGGCAAGGGATGGCGCATCCCCTCCCAAGACAGGCCAGGCCACAGTGCGGATAACTGTTACTGATGTCAATGACTGCGTTCCTCAGTTTTCAAAGAGAGAATACTCCAAAGAGATTCCAGAAAACATCAAAACAGGGGAGCTAGTTTTGACTGTAAGTGCATCAGATAAAGACTTTGGCACCAATGGTGAAGTCATCTACAGTTTCAGTAGTGGTAATGACCAGGAACTTTTTTCTATCAATCGTCTTAATGGTCAGATCAAAGTGAACAAGGAACTTGATTATGAGTACAATCCATTGCATACACTTTTTGTGATTGCTCAAGACAAAGGTGAATCACCAAATTACAATGAAACCTCAGTGGAGATATATCTCACTGACGTAAATGACAATGCACCTCAGTTTTCAAATTCTGATTTTCAAGAAATGGTCTCAGAACGTGAAAGTGTGGGACACACCTTTACACGAGTCACTGCATATGACGAAGATGATGGTACAAACCGAGAGATCATTTACAACATAGTGGAACCCAATTTACCATTCGGCATTAACAGCCAAACTGGGGACTTGTACCTTACCAGGAAATTAGACAGAGAGACAGTGAATCAATATGTATTTCATGTTAAGGCTGAGGATAAAGGCCAGCCTCCCATGAGCAGCCAAACTAAAGTAACTGTCAATGTGGGAGACATTAATGACAATCCTCCAAGATTTTCAAAATCAGTTTATTTTGGAGATGTGGAGGAGAATGCTCGATTTGGGACAACCGTTCTTCAGGTGACAGCCACTGACCCTGACCTTGGGCAGGCTACCATCTTTTACAGTCTTCAGATGTCTAATCCTAGCCAAGGACGGTGTTTTCGAATTTCTGGCAATGGTGTGATAACATTATCATGTAGACTGGACTTCAGCAAGGCTAGATTCTACTCTTTAACTGTAAAAGCTAGAGATAGTCGTTTGGAAAGCTCTGCAGATGTGCGCATTAACGTAACTGATTCTAACACTCACAAGCCTGTTTTCCAACAACGCATTTACCGACAAAGGATTAGTGAAGCTACTGCAGTTGATGGAAGGGTTCTTGTTGTCAAGGCAACTGATAATGACCAGGGATTGAATGCCAAACTGACATATGCAATTGAACAATCTCTGCCAGAATTTAAAATCAATTCTAAAACTGGTGAGATAACTGTATCACACCCATTAGATCGCGAAACAACGTCACAGTACAGGTTTGAAGTAAGTGCAACAGACCATGGTAATCCACCATTTAAAGGAACTGCGAATGTGCATATAACAGTAACAGATGTAAATGACAACAAACCAAGATTTTTACAATCCAACTATGGAAAATCCATTCTGGAAAATGTACGGCCTGGAACACGAGTTTTGGAAGTCTCTGCAGTTGATGATGATGAAGGTTCAAATAAAGCCATCGTCTACTTATTTGCTAAAAACGGTAAATACAGTTAATTTACAAAATTAAAATCTTATGAGTGACATGCTGGGTTGGGGCTCCTGTGCCATCTTTTTGTTCTTACCGCATTTTAAGGTCTTTTATGATTGGTACAGACTATCAGTATGCATATTCTCCATACTGTCCTCTATACATTCCCTGAGGTGCTGATAAGGAGAATCTGATTAACACTCAAGAGCTTCTTGAGATTTTGATCATTTCCTTTATTCTCGTGAGCTTTAGGTGTGATTCTTGGAGATCTTGAAAGGAGAAATTTTAGGTGCTAGTGATTCTTAGGGGTTGAACCCGTAATATTGTTATTAATATTAATAATATTAATAATAATATTAATAATAATATTAATAATATTAATAATATTAATATTGTAATATTGTAACCGGTAATCATGTTGTGTGAATTAATTTATCAAGTCATTTACGATCATGTGATCTTACCAATGTTTTGTTTTTGGTTGTACTTTGCAATACTCATTTAGGCGATGGAGGTGGAGCTTTTCAAATTGACAGCAATCAGGGAGTCATCAGAACTTTGCTGCCACTTGATCGTGAAACAACTCCAGAATATGAACTAACTGTGGTTGCTGCCGACAAAGGCAGACCAGCAATGAAATCCTCTGTGAAAGTCAAGATAACGCTGGAAGATGTTCGTGATAGTAAACCAAAATTTGAAAAGGATCCATACATAGTGTTTCTTGATGAAGATGCAAGAATACGTTCTAAAGTGGTCACTGTTAAAGCAGTGTCCCAAGACCTTGTTGAAGGTGGTGAGATTTTTTACAGCATTGTGTCTGGCAATGATCCATTAACATTTGTTATTCAGAGAAATGGTGTGATTCAGACCAAGACATTGCTAGATTATGAAACAAAACCCGAGTACATTCTGAAAGTGCGAGCAACATCATCGCCATTCTTTGTTGAAACAATTGTCAATATAACACTGAGAGATGTAAATGATAACTCACCTGTACTTCAGGATTTCTTTGTGGTCGTTAATGTTCGAGATGAAAGCTCTACCACGCTGCCAAAGTTTAAAATTCCTGCATACGACCCTGATGTTTCTGATCGTCTTACCTATGAAATCAGCTAAATATCCCAAGGGGACTGGGACATGTCTTTGAACAGAACAACAGGTTATCTAGCACTCAATCCCAAAGTGTTAGTCAACACATTACTTCGGCCTGTCCAACTGATGGTGAGAGTTTCTGATGGAAAGAATAGCCTTCCTGCCAATGGTAAAATTTTTGCAACATTGATAACACCTCAAATGCTGAACAACAGCTTTAACCTGGACGTGCATGATGTTACTATCGAAGAATTCTTTGATAAATCCTATGAGGGTCTTGTGAAAGGCATTGCTTCTGCTGTAAAATGTGAGGATTACCAGGTCAGATTGTTTAATATAAAATCAGAAATAATCAAAGCAAAGACACTGGTTGAGGATGATATTTCTAATCTCAGGCTATGGGTGGCTGTTTATAAAAATGATCGCTTTAGCTTTTACAATCCTCAGTATGTTAGAGACATGGTGTACATAAAGATGGCACAGATTTCCAAAATGGCAAAAGTCACGCTCCTTCCTTTCAAAGATGGCTTATGTGTCACAGAAATGTGCAACGGCCCCTTACCAACATCCAGAAGGAGCTGCCTTTCACACACCGACTACACCGACAAATCCAGCACCTACAGCTCATTAAAGGTAGTTTTCCATTCAGTTGGAGTGCAAACTGGTTACAGATGCCCCTGTGCTCCTGACTATCGAGGGGAAGATTGTGACACAGGTTTTAACTTGTGCTACTCCAATCCTTGTAGAAACAATGGGAAGTGTGTGAGTGTAGAAGAAGGCTACTCTTGTATATGCAATCCAGGAAGAACTGGTGTGAACTGTGAAATTGACCTATCAAAGAGCAAGTGTCCTACCGACTCAAAAGTGACAGAAAATCATCTGAAGGCAAATCCATGCCATAATGATGGTGGTTGTAAAAGTCTTCCGAGTAGTGGATTCACCTGTCAGTGCAAAGATCCCAATGAAGTTGATGATGGATCACTGTGCCAACTGTCAACGCGTAGTTTTAAAAAAGGATCATTTATTGCCTTTCCTGGTAAGTCTTTATTTGTAGCTACCACAATACCTAGAATTGGCTCTTTTAGATGTTATATGAATATATCAACAAAGTTGAAAGGGTAAATTGGCCACCGTTATGATTATAAAAGCTGACGTTTCGAGCGTTAGCCCTTCGTTAGCCCTTCGTACTTGAGTAAGAACCGCCTTGAATACATGCCTCTTTTGCCAGCCAAAATTTAGAATACCCTTCTTTCTTTGTAAAGAATATAATCATGTTTCCTGAGCCTGTTAATTAAATAATTGCATCAACAAATTTTGCCTTTTACATAGTGCCTTTTGTAAATTTGTCGATTTGTCATGTTTGGAAATACATGTCAGTTTTATCTGAGCAACTGCTCACCTACATTGTTTGATGCAGTAAACCAATGGTTGGTGCAGTGTTCTCCTTACCTTTCTCCAAAGTGCTGACAAGGAAAATTTGATCAACAATCAAGAGTTTGTTTAGTTGGTGATCATTTCCTTAATTCTCATGACCTTTATCTGTTATTTGTGGGTGATATTGTAAGGAGAAATTAGAGGTAAATGCTATTTACTATTAGGGATCAAATGGTTAATTACTCAATGGCACTGTCAGTGGTTTATTTCGTTGCGACAATGATAATGACGATGACTTTATTTTTCTCTAGCATTGAAACAAAGATGGCGTTTACACATACAGATGGAGTTTGCCACCACTGAGCACAGTGGCCTTTTGCTCTTCAATGGACGGTATGATGGAAAACATGACTTTATTGCTGTGGAAGTGTGGCAAGGACAAGTTCAGTTTCGGTTCTCGCTGTTTTCCCGCATTGTCACTGTTACGTCAAATATGAATGGCGGTGTCATTGATGGCAATTGGCATAAAGTTGAAGTGGCATTCCAGAACAGGGTAAGAATTTTTTGAAAAATTGTTCCCAATTTATGAATACCATCTGGTACTTAAAAATTTACAAAGTTCTGACCTGGATGTTACTTATGTGAACTGATTCATTGACTGACATGTCCCTTTAGCATAGGCCGTTGCAGAAAAGTGAGAGGACTCGGAAAGAGTGTGGTTGTTTTCTGTCTGTTTGAAAATCTAAAATATTCAAATGAAAAATCAACTAAATTTGAGAGTCTTAAGCAAGAATAGAAGCATTTAGAGAAGAAAAATGGCAAAATGACAGCTTTTCAAATATCACCTAAAATGGAGAGTTTGTATGGATTGGGTAGACAGGGCAAAAAATTTTAAGGGTTTGTATGGAATTTTTGCAACTTTTTCAGGGCTCCAATTTGGACACTTTCCCACTGAAAACTCTCAAACTTGGCTGGATAGCTTTTCATTCAGTAACACTTCAGTTGAAATGTTCAGATTTTCAATGTAATCAATATAAGAAACTTGTCCCAGTCCTCTCACGTTTCTGCAATGGGCTATTAAGTGACTGAAGTCACTGGACCATTTCTAATGCAAGGTTTACTTAATGTTTTCAACTTAGTTTTGCATATTCTGCCATTTTTTCCCAGACTTAAACTTGCAATACATGTATAACTTCTCTTTATAGTGGTTGCCTAAACTTTTTTAACTCTTAAGGTTACATGTGGACAGTACCCTGCTCATTCTTCTTGTATAATTTGAGGGCAACTACACCATATTTTAACTTGTTCAGATTCAAGTGTCAAGGGTCAACTCAAACATATGTAACCATTTATGTTACCCAGGTATTTGCTGGTTGAACAAATGTGTGTTTGTACGAATTCATACAAATTCATATGAATTCACACACTCAATCTTGGTTGAATTTCAGTGCATGCAAGCCAAAGCCAGATAAAAATCTAAAATATTTATGTTTTTCATCAGTGATTAAACAAACCACCCAAACATCTTTTACAAAAAGATATGATCAACTTTTAAAATTATCTGTTCCTCTATCCTGATATTTTGATAGATGTTACTGAACTGTTCTAAAGAGCATGTAAATTATGTTCAAATTCTTGACATCATTCATACATCATCCATTCATACAAGTGTGTGTTTGGTTGCTCAGTATCAGAAAAGTGGCAAAGAACTG